TCATTGGTGCTTCAGCTTGGGCATCTAAAATCCTTGAGCCTTTCAAAGGAATTGCTGATCTATGCTACACTTGCCACACTGGGGCATCAGTGGTTTAGGGAGTTACAATGCCCAGGCTGAGTTCTTCTAGTTGTTAATGACGTATGGAAAATTCTTTTGCTTGAAGTTAATGAGAAAGGCCTCTGACTTCCTTACAAAATGTGCTGCAGGCTTTCCAGAATCCTGTGTGCTCTTGAAAATCTCCTCTACTCATTATAAATCTGAATTTGATAGGTTTCTGCCATCCATGAGAAGCTGGTGCCTATATTCAGTTTTTATTGCCCATATACCTTATTGTAGGTACTTGCGTTTGGGGAAAAACCTTATATGTCCAGGTAGGCTACAGAGTCAAAGAGGCTTGTCCAAAGTGTTATTTTTGGTAGGTGAGTGACACGCATCAGCATGTTTTTCTTTTTTATTGGCCTTTGGCAGTCAGACTTTTATGATTTATTGAATCATAAAATACATGTAAACTGTAAACCTGCTTTACTCAGTTTGTTTGACTTTATTTGGTAGCACTTGCTCATGATGATTAAGTTTGGCCCCCAAGTCCAAAAGACTTGAGTTCAAATTGTGGTTCTGTCACATTCTCTCAACCACTGTATCAGTTAGGACTGGAATTGGTTGGAATATAGTGGCTTTGACAATTTCATTTTTTGCTCAGGCAAGTAAGTCCAGAAGTCACTAGAGCCCCAAGAAGCGTGTAGACTTTAAGCTTATGGTCCAAAATTAGTGCCAGAGCTCCTGCCATCACTTCTGCATTCCAGATAGCTGGATGGAGAAAGGGCAGAAGAAGAGTGTGCTTCCTTCCTGGAAGACTTGTAAGACTTACTGGTTATATCTCATTTACTAGAATTTGATCATACCGCCATTCCTATTCCTAGCTGCAAAGGAAACTGAGGAATATAATTTTTTAACTAAGAAGCAGACTTGTCTGCAACTACACTCAGTCATTCTTCACATACCGATTTCTCTCTGGGTCTACTTCTCTTGGGGTTATTAGCAGGGTTGTTATTCTCCTCTGCTTTGCATAACTTTTCTTTTTTCGTATAGTTACTTTTTATTCATACTTGTGGCTTTGTAAATTTAGATTGCCGTGATTCTTCATGGTTAAGAAGTTATTTAATAGCTTTGCTTTTTGTATTCCCTCAGTTTTATTTTGCACTATGAACTGCTTCATCTTTTCAGTATTTTTCAACTCAAATTTAGGAGAAAGAGAATATGATTATGTTAGCCTGGCCCTTCCTGCTAGGCCACACCATGGTTGTTGGTCAGCTACTAAGGCTAAACTGCCTGCTAGTTCAATCAGTCGTGGCATCTTGCTTGTGGGCTTTTGCATCTAAAAGGGTGGGGAGGCAAAACAGACTCTATAATGTGACCATGCTAAGTCCCTGACAAATGGAAATTCCTTTGGCAGGGAGTTAGAGATAAATCTTAAAATGAGGATGTTTTGTATATTGATATGAATACATTTTAAGTAGTATATAGATTGTCAGTTAATAGTTATCAATAATTGATATCGGACCGAGAAGCAATTATTTGCAAAGACTAGGAAGGTGTCTGGGGCATGCATTAGCAACCCTCAGGTGCTTGCACATTATGGGATGTTTCTTGCTTTCACTTTTATCTGGAATGCTGTTTTCTTCTTTGCTCCTTTGAACTTGGATAACTCTCAATCTTTTGAGACTCAAAATTCAGGAGATGCTTCCAAGTCTTTCCTGACATGCCTATAAGAATGAGTTCGATGCCTCTACTCTGTTTGCCTAAAGCCCATTGTGCATACCCCTGATTGTGCTGAACACATTTACCTTGCACTTGTCGGGCACAGGTATGTTTAATTACTGCTTTCTCCTGAACTGGAAGATCACTGATGCTAGGGTTTGGTCTTCTTTATCTTTGTATACTTAACACTTACCTAGAAGTGCTTGCCACATTAAGGATGCTCTGGGCCAGGTACAGTGGCTCATTCCTGCAATCCCAGCACTTTGGGAGGCCGAGGTGGGAGGATCGCTGGAACCCAGGAGTTTGAGACCAGACTGGCCAACGTAGTGAGAACTCATCTCTACAAAAAAATTAGCTGGGTATGGTGGCACGCACCTGTAGTCCTAGCTATTTGGGAGGCCGAGGTGGGAGAACTGCTTGAGTACAGGAGGTCCAGGCAGCAGCAAGCCAAGATTGTACCACTGCACTCCAGCATTGGGTGACACAGTGAGACCCTGTCTTATAAAAAAAAAAAAAAGCCCTGCAATTTTTTTTTTCGTTTTCTTTCTTTGGACTGAGTTTTAAAATTCCCAGTGCCTGGTCAAAAGTGAAGGAATAAATTCTCTAAGGTAAGTGGTACTCATTATTTTACTCTGATAAGTTAGAAGGGGATTTCTCTCCCTCCATACTTTTGAATCAGAATTTTCAGAACGAGAACTATTCTTACCTTCAGCATTTCAGCCAAAATCTGCCTGGATATTACATATGATTTTTTTAGTGATGTTTTGTAGAAGAAGGGCTAACATTTTGCTGGATGAAATCTATAACTTCTGATATGATGATTTATGCTTTCATTTGGTTATTTTTGCTAGGTGACTTTTCAAATCTCAGGTTATTTCTGCTAGATGGCTTTTCAAATCTTTGTGATTGAATTTCACAAAGAGATCATGTGCTAATGATGATGATTGTTATTTTTTAATAGGGAGAGGAATGATTCCTTTTTGAATACTGGTTGAACTCTTACATATTCCATGCATGGACATTTGTGGATTGCTTGGAAGTATAGATGCTCTTGGGATGCTGTTGGCACTGTTACCACTGAAAACATTTTTAGAAAATGTTGAGAAGCCAATTTTATTAGCTTTGCTTTAGATTGCAAATGTTTCTCTTTGGGTAGATTATCATCATCCTTTTTCCTAATTTGAAGAAGCTATAAAAGATATGCTGAGGAGCAAAATGCTCTACATTTTGTAAACAAATCCTCATTTTATTTTGTAATTAGTTAAAAAAAATTACTTTTTTCCCATTTGGGGAAAATTACTTTCGAGTATACTAAGGGAGTTGTTAAATAATGCACTGTTAATGTTTTCAGTGACGATATTAACAGAAGGAGATGCCAGTTCTGAAGTAGGTGGCATTTCCAAGTGTTTATTTCCAATCTGGAGGAGTGACTAAAGCATAATTGACAGACATGACCTTTACTCGGAGAGGATTCCACCCACGCGGCACTTTAGCGTTCCCATGTACCTGGGAATGGGTCATCACTCTCTGTATCCCCCATTTATTGCATCTTTGTCTTCAGCCCATTTGTCTGCTATTAAGAGCAAATGCTGGATCTTTGTTAACCTTGTTTGGAAATAGATGATCCAAGCTAGGGCCTCATTCGAAGGGGTTTTACTGCTCCCCTATGCTCTTTCTTGTTTTAGCATACTACTTGCAGGACTCTGAAGAATTGGCTTGGCTGTCTTAACTTTTTAATTTTCATCAAGCAGAATTATAGAGGAGAAGATAATATAACTGTCATCTTGCTTTGCATCAGGATGAGAGATTGCACAGGACATCAAAATTAGAACTGTCAACCATATTGGGTATAAAAAATAGCTCTCTAAAAGAAAATTGTGTTTATTAACCCTCTGATGGAACTCAAATTATACCTTGATATCATTTTTTTGGATTGCATAGTAAATAACATTCATTTTCTGCCATCTTGTTGAAGTTTTGTTTTCTCCTTTATTTTCATGCTTACCTTTGAAATTTCTTAGGGGAAACAACAATAAACTGTAAGTAATCACATTAATTTCAAATTTAGTGTTCTTTTTCTTTTTTCTGTCTTAGGCATTCTTTTTCTATAGACCTCTCTTAAACAGATTGTAACCAATCTGTCTTGTTTTTGACATCTTTTTTGCTATTTTATTACATGAGGCAGCAAAGAAGATGAGATTTGTTTTTGAAATAATATTCTTTACTTCTTCCTCAGGCAAGTCTAGATGTGGATTTGTGAATATCACTGTAGAGGCTACTGGGCCAGAGTTTATCTGGGATAGAAAGTCATTCTTTTATTGGGAATAGTTAACTACTTATCCTTCATTCCAAGTTATGCCTTATGTCTCATGGGTTTACAGTTAAAATAGTTTCTTGCAAATAAAGCATCTATACAGGGAAATAATATAATTATTTAAAATTTATTACCAGTTCATGTACTGTGATCAAAGGAAGTTTGGTTATGTTTTTAAATATCTCTATGTATCCGACTCCTAGTAATTAGAGGGAAGAGGCTGTTGTTGAGAACATTATTGTTAGAATGAATTTACAAGCTGGCGCAATAGACATGCCACCTGGCCTGAGGTCGGATGTTCAAGGATAAGGCAGTATTTGTAAGGATTAGAGGTTAGAGAGAATGAGGTAATATGGTTAGTCAGAAAAAAAGTTACACAAAATAAATTGAGGGTTTTCAGGGTAATAATTTTAGCAATGCCAACAACAATACTTGTACTTTTTGAGACTATGAGAAGGAGTGGAAAGTAGGTTTTTAGTAACTAAAGAGTAAATATTTCTCCCTCTTTAAAAGATAAAGCTCATAAGAAGAGTTATTCTCTCATGATAGGTGCTAGAGCCCTTTCATATGGCACGGGGGATACCTACTTTTTAAAAACAAATGTTGCTCTCTACTGCTTAGGATTAGATTAGGCTGTGAGAGACACACAACAATTTTTAAATACGTTAGAGGGCTGGGCGCGGTGCTCATGCCTATAATCCCAGCATTTTGGGAGGCCGAGGCAGATGGATCACTTGAGGTCAGGAGTTCGAGACCAGCCTGGGAAACATGGCTGTCTCTACAAAAAATTAAAAACTCTACAAAAAAATAAAAAACCCTGTCTCTACAAAAAATTAAAATATTAACTGGGCACGGTGGCATGAGCCTGTAATCCCAGCTACTTGGGAGGCTCAGGTGGGAGGATCACTTGAGCCCAGAATGTTGAGGATACAGTGAGTCCAGATTGTACCACTGTACTCCAGCCTGGGCAACCAAGTGAGACCCTGTCTCAGGAAACAAAAAGTTACAGGTTGATTTCTATTTCATGTACAAAGTCTGGAAGCGGAGGGAATGGCAACTCCACGGTCATTTGCATCTTTGGGTTCTCTTATCTGTATGCTCTACTTCATGTGTCCGCTGTTCTCATTGTGCCCTCACAATCCAAGATTGTCACTGGAGCTACATTAAATCTCTGTTACAGCCTAGAAAAGAAGTAGGAAAGGCAGAAGAGCAAAAAGGGGCCCTTCTCAGAGTCAGTTCCCTTTAAGCATCTTTCAGTTACATCTCATTTTGAAGAACTAAGTCACAGGACAACACTTAACTCCAAGAAAAGCTGGTAAATCTTTTATTCCAGGTGGCATAAAATATGACAGTAATCTTTCAGTTGGGGAAAATAACTTTTCCAGCTTACTCAGAGTTGTTCAGTCATTCACTATTATGTTAAAAGGTACAATTTGGGGTAATTTCCAAAGGTAGATGGGAAGAATGATCTTGAACAAGGTAATGAGCGTTCTTAGTCTTGGGCTCTGAGGACACCGGGACATGGCCCTGGTTTGTTTTCAGTAGTGTATTTCATTCAAAATAAAACCAATAGTGTTACAGTCATGATAGTAATAACTTCATAATAGATGTGATCATGATTCCCAGTATGAAATCATCAGCTCTTTGTTTTGAACAATAGCACCATTGAATGTTTGGAATTATTTGAAGGTTTAGATTGAGTTTAAGTGCTTCACGTAACAGATTGTCTTTTTAGTTTGATTTTCCATCGCTGTAATTTTTATTTTTAATATCCATGTATATAGCCTTTGGCTTTCCAATCTTTTCTTTATCAAATTCCTTCAATTATACAGAGTTCAGTTTCTTGTGGATATTGTCTGAAGAGGCAAGAGCTTTTGGCAGAATGGGTCTGATGCGACTTGTTGGTCTTCCTCAAGGACTGCATCTTTGGAAGTCTTTTGGCTCCCACAGAAAGCCAAGGATCCTGTATCTCTGCCTCCTTGCCACAATGGATAAAACCATGATTGCTGAGATTTATGACATTATAAACTTTAGGGAGAAGCTTTAACTTGTCAACAATAAACCATAATAACAGTGTTCGACTGTATAAAGTTAGGGTTATTTTGACTACATACTAATTTAATGTGCTAAAAATATTTCTCTCAGTTGGGGAAAATAACTTTTTCTAAAGAAAGGAAAAGAAACCAGTAGTCATGTTGGGTATGCATGGTTTTGTGAGTGGGCATGTGTTTTAGGAATCTGAATTTGATTTTGGAGTTAGAAGTTGTGAATTCTAAGTTGAGTACTGCCATTGATATTCTGAGACCAAGGACCTCAGTCTTCTGTCAAAATTTAGCCCATTCATAACTTTCAGCATTTAACTATGAGTGTTTCCTTTTTACAGAGATTTTTTTTCTGTCTATTATAAGGATTGTAGACATTTATGATCTAATAAGAATTGAACTGAAAAAGAAGTGCTTAAAAAGCTACTTATAGCAGCCAAATATTTATCATTAGAATGGGATATTAGAGCCAGATTTGAAAGAAATGAAATGAAACCATTACAGTAAGTTACACTCCTTAAATGATGCTCTTGTATTAGAGGTCAAAGTATCTGCCTTATAGTCCCAAGATAAAGCCACATGCCCCAGACTTTATTATCCTTGTCTTATTTGAGTTAGCCTAGAAAACAGACGGAAGAAATTCAGCCACTTGCTCATAAAACAGATGTTGGAATATAGCAGATTTTCTTTAAAGAGGGAAACAAGAGCAAGGGGAATGAAGACAGTTCTTTGGTACAAACATTTTGTTGTAATCTCTTATTCTTATTTTAATCTTATAGAAAATGTCTGAATGTATCCAGATCTCATTTGCTGTTTGTAGAATTGGGATTTACACGGTAAGCAATGTATATTTTTGTGGTACCACATGTTGTGAAAACTAAGTGAAGACCCTAGTGTTGGAAATCATGTGGAGTGATGGCAATTACCCTCTACTGCTGATGGGGGTATAAATTTATACAACCACTTTGGAAAGTAATAAAGCTGAACATGAGCATATCTTGTGACTGAGCAATTCTACTCCTATGTATATAGCTCAGAGAAATTGTTGTGTAATTACCAGAAGACCTGTGTAGGAAAGGTTCCTAGTAGAAATATTCATAAAAGCAAAATGTTAGATGTAATACAAATGTCCATCAATAATAGATTGGATTAAATAATTATGGAGTCACGGATTACAATACAGCAGCAAAAATATATGAAAAAAATGATTGTATGAATTACAGCTTGTAATAACACACCGTGGATGTATCTCACAAACAATGTTGAATGTAAGAAACAAGTCACGGGAAAACACATGGAGTACAATTTCATTTCTATGAAGTTCAAATGCAGTAGAACTAAGCAATACATTGTTTTAGGGTTACATATGTTGATAAACTATAAATAAAAGCAAAAATTCAGATTATGATTACCTCTGGGGTAGTAGTTCTCAACAAAGGGTGACTTTGCCCTCCAGGGGGATATATGGAGACATTTTTGGTTGTCACAGCTGGGGGTGATGGTGGTGGTATACTACTGTCATCTTGTGGGTTGAGGCCAGGGGTGTTGCTAAGCATCCAAAATGTTCTGGTTAAGAATTATCTGCCCAAAATGTCAATAGCGTGAGGTTGAGAAACTGTTCTAAAGCAGTGGAGGGAAGAAAAAGTGCTTTAAAAGTTATAGTAGGCCAGGCCCGGTGGCTCACGCCTGTAATCCCAGCACTTTGGGAGGCCAAGGTGGGCAGATCACCTGAGGTCGAGAGTTTGAGACCAGCCTGGCCAACATGGTGAAACCCTCTCTCTACCGAAAATACAAAAATTAGCTGGGCGTGGTGGTGTGCACCTGTAATCCCAGCTACTTGGGAGGCTGAGGCAGGAGAATCGCTTGAACCCAAGAAGTGGAGGTTGTAGTGAGCCAAGATCGTACCACTGCACTCCAGCCTGGGTGACAAGAGCGAAACTCAGTCTAAAAAAAAAAAGTTATGGTAATATTTTGGTTTTTAACTTGAATTGTGAGCACACAGTGTTTTTTTTATGTTGTTCTTTGAGCTATATATTTGCTTTATATACTTTTTGTATGTAGATATTTTACAATACAACAACAAAAATGAATGTTTTAAGATGTTTGAGGATTTTTTATTTTTTTTCCACCAGCCTGTGTCGGTTGACCCAAATGCCTTGAGCTCATTTCTTAACTTGGGATTTTGGAGATGTATCTATGTAGATGAGCATGAAGGACTTTTCTAACCAGATTAGGTGATAAAATGTCTTGACATTTTTCCCTTTAGAGGCTTAGGGAGGGGATTTGGAGACTGTAGATGGGAAATATAGTAACACTTCCTTTTAAAGACCAAATTATTTTCTAAGTAAGGACTTAAAAATATTTACATGAATAATCTTGTTTACTCATCTACTTTGTACAGAAGAACATATATATGTGTGCACAAAATGCTTAAGGAATTTGTTTAAAATGAATGATGTAAAAATTCTGAGTAAAAGATAGGAGGGCAGCTTGTAAGTTCCTTGAGGGCAGGGAGTCTATCTTGTGTTTGTCTTTATAGCCTTTACAATACCTTGCACAACATCTGGCCCTTGGCAAATGCTCAATAGCTGTATGTCCAATTATATTAAGTTGTAGGGAGAATAATTTTCTGTTTTGCCTTTGTTTGAATATAAGAAAAAGGAGATTTTCTTATGTCTCCTATCACCTTTTGTTTTAGCTGTCTCAGATGAGTATTTGTCCCCAGTTAGATGAATAGGTTGCTTGAAAGCTAAACACATTTTTTAGTTATTTTATGTGAAGTTAATTCCTGAGTCTGTTTTCCCAGATCCTCTGAGAAGCAGGTACCAGGTTGGGATTTGCACCCAAGTTAGGGGGATATTCATGAAGTGGAAAGAGGGAGGAAACCACAAAAGGTAGAGAGAGCCTTCAGACCATGCTGTAGGTCTGACAGCATTTGTGAAGGAAGAGTGGGAAGGAAGGAAGGATGGGGAAGAATTTTACAATGTCATGTATTCCTGAGAAGTCTTGGCTGGATGGATAGGGCTTCCCTAAGCAACGGTGCCTGTTGCTGGAGTTTTGCAACAACAGCAGTGATTCTAGGACCTCTGTACACTTGGGTGCTGGCTGGCAGCCCAACAGAAACACAATGTCTGCATGAATACCATAGTAGACCTGATGCTGTGGCAGCAAGAGGCCGTCAGTTAGTTGTGCTTCTCTAGAAAGGGAGCTCTGACTGGCATATTTCCATGGCTGCCGCAGTAAGCCAGCACAATAAGGTATTTCCATCTAGAACTTGGGAATATTAGAACTGCTGATATCAGAAATTGTATGTATGCCTCTTTGAATACCTAGCACTGAGCCTGGGCTTGAGACCTCACAGGTGTTCAGTCTCTGTCCCTGCTTATTTAATGAAGAAAGGCTGGTCATGAATTCGTTCCGAGGCAGATAAAAATCGGCCCTAAAAGGAGAGAGTGTGACAATCTTAATTGTGTCCCACACAAAATTCATATGTTGAAGCCCTGACTCCTAATGTGATGATGTTTGGGGATGGGGCCTTTGGGAGATAACTAGGTTTAGATGAGGTCATGAGGGTGGGGCCCTCCTGATGGGATTAGCGCTTTTATAAGAAGAGACACCAAAGGGCTTTCTTTCTCTCTCTCTCTGCCTGCCGTGTGAGGACATAGGAAGGTGGCCGTCTTTAAGCCAGGAAGAGAGCCCTTAACAGAAACTGACCAGGCTGGCACCCTGCTCTGGGACTTCCAGATTCTAGACCTGTGAGAAAACAAATTTCTGTTGTTTAAGCCACCCAGTCTAAGGTATTTTGTTTTGGCAGATTAACACAGGGAGGAGAAAAAAAAAATCTTGTAAATTACAGCTAACATAAACAAACCAGAAAACAAAAACAAAAACAAACTCTTATTAGCTACTGTTGGAAATAAATGCTGAGTTACAAGTAAAACAAAAAGTAGAAGAGGAAACCTAAAAAGATTATGGGTTGGTTTATGGGATGAGAAATAGTGTTAGATTGTTGAGCTGAGTTGTTTTTCTAGGTGCTTTTAATGTTATTGCCAAATCACAGCTAGTTAAATACTTAGAAGTTAAGGAGCAAAAAGCAATATATTTTACATATTAGGAATCCATATCTGAAGTGAACAAGACCAAATTGGAACATATATAGGACAGAGACACTGAAAGCTTCCTAGGTTAAGCGTGTGATATACAGATGAATGTATGCTACCATTAAAAGGTTTAATAAAGATCATTACTCAGAGACAACAAAGGATATCCAGTGCATGCCGTCCACCTTTCCCACTGAGGTTTGGAGTAGACAGACCTTTCTCCAGACCCTGAAAAGCAGTGATGCTTATTTAAAGGGCCTTAACTCAGGAAGATGTGGCAGGAAACTTAAGGTATAGGTAGAAAAACTTAGACATTATCAGTGGTGGAGATATGAAGGCTTCCAAAGCCCAGAACAAATTGAGACAGAGGGAAGCAGATAAAAAGCAACAAACAAACAAACAAAACAATCTTTAAAACCAAGCATCTGCTCCAAGGAGATAACTCTGTACTTACAGCACAGGAGATAGTATTATTATCCTAATGTAATGTAGGGATGTTTCACAAAGAAGTAATTTAGTTTCTGAAACAAAAGGAGTCCTGTTATATGGATCTGTTTTGGGTCTTAAGCAACATTCATTTGGTTCTGTTCAGGAGGAAGGAGGGGACGTAAATTTAGGCCAAGAGTTTATAGTACAATTGTGGTTCAATGATTTTATGAAATCCTGGCAATGAAAACAGGCCATGCTTAAGAATGTGATCTTGAAGTGAACCTTCTACAGTCAGGCATAGATGAGCTCTAGGCCAGAGGGACGCATAAGGGCATTGCTTTGGAATTCTCTTAGGAATGTCAGGGTAAGCATTTTCCAAAGGTGTTGCGCCAAGACTTCTCTGAGTTGGGAGCTATAATACAACCATCATGGAGCAGAAGCACAATGGTGGGCAATTAGCTGGTGCCGACAAGAAGCAGGTTAAGGGAGCAGTGATAATTTTTGCTTCTAGTGACCTTTCTGTGGGTCGTGGACCCTTTTGGCCAACATTGAATGGACCAGATGAATGAAGCTAGGGCCAGTGAATCTTGCCGTTCTCTAGGAATGGTACTGTTTGAAGCACACTAAAGCCACAAGGGTGACTGGTTTTCTGTACCCAACAGCTGCATGAACTAAAATTGAAACAAGTGATGGAGGTTTGAACTAAATAATACCAGAAGAATATCCTGCATGGTTATAGATTTTGGTTATCAATAAGAGCTTTAAAAACTCTTTAAATTCTTCTTTGGTCTTTGCAGAAATTATTGAATGTGTTTTACTAGCAGAGAAAGCATTCATCCTTTAAAACAATAACAGTAAAAATGGCATTCAGTTTCATCTTGAGATGAAGAGTCATTTGCTAGTGGGTATAAATCATCCTTTTTATCTAGTTACAAGATTTGCTTGTACCTACTCATATTCAATTTCTGTGACTTCTTTTTGCTGGGGGAGGGAGGCAGGGAGAGTTAACTTTGTGATTACAATAAAAAGGCAAAACAATTGTATGTTATTATTAGTATTACTACTGATAATGTTAGTAACAACATTATTAATAAGATTGTATATTATTAAAATTGCTTATTTTCATTTAGCTCTTTAGGTCTGGACAAATCCTACCCTAATTCAGTTGGGTTATTACAATATACAGTGCTACATGTAAAGACACTGTATTAGTTTCCTATGGATGTTGTAACAAATAATCACAAACTTTGTGGCTTAAAACAACATAGATTCTCTTATAATTCCGGAGGTCAGAAGGCTGAAGTGGG